ATTTTTTGCTTTATGTAATTTCTGTCTTATTAATTACTCAATTATTATTTTTATTTTTTTTACATTTTACTGTGCGTTACGTTAGGATATATTTTTTTATTTCGCTTGATATTATTTTGTATTTTAATTATTTCTTTATACATATACATTATCTTATCATGAATACATAAATAGCCAAGACAAAAACTCCACATAAAAAACTGTTTAACTAATTAAAATGAAGAAATAAATAAATGCTTTAATTTTTAAACATTGACTGGTTAGTTTTTGACAAGTATTTGATGTAATAAATTCTTTGTTTGGAGTTTTCCTATCACAACCTACTATAAAAAAAGAAATTGCACGTTCTTTAAATGAACATTTCAGGTTTTCTTAGTTTAAAATTGAAAATCCCATTTCTGGACTTGAGTTTTTATAATTTCTATCTCTTTAATGTTTTTACGATAAAAGTGGTTGAATAGATGTTGTAAATAAATAGTTAGTAAAAGGCGAAAGATTTATTTGATTTGAAGAGAGACCAGAAGTATATTAATTGCACCAGTGCCTTTTTGGACGTAGCACAAGCTTTCGACCGGATGTGAACTATGGATTGCTTTTCAAGCTCAAAACCCACTTACCTCAATCCATATATTTAATACTTGGATTGTAACTTTCAAACCGTTCCGAGAACTCTGCGACTCAAGATTTTCCAATCGTTATCCAGCTGAGGCCGGTGTTCCACAACCAGTGTCCCGAGTCCTGTTTTGTATTTTCTGTTCACTGCTGATATCTCTATTAATCCTGAAACCTTCTAATAATACATGATGATAACGCCATCATACCCTCCAACTCAGACCTTGAAATGCAATCATGTCTTTTGCATTCTTTGAAGCAGATCTAGCCAGCTGATCCTTTTTAATTCAATACCACTTCTTTACAGCTTAACCGACGATTTGACCAGTTATATAGATTGTTAATCTAAAAGATCATACCAAAACCTATTTGAATCTACGGATTTGAATTGTAAGGAACAGCTGAATTATCGAGTTTCTCATGTTTACAATCTTCCAATAACATTATTGGAGAGAAGCGCTGGGATCTTCTGTAGTCCTGCTTTGCCATCCATATGAGAATGTAAAATCTTGGTTTGGACTTCCCTAGGAGAATATAAATATTTTATTTATGTACAGTTCTAATTTTCTTTACATGTCACTTACTTATTTTACTATTTTTTATTTATATAATTTTATTGCTGAAGTGCAAACACTACTTTCATTTTATGTTATTATTATTATTTATACACAAATTTATTATGTTATGATATTATTTTTCATGCTTGTTCTTTTTATAGCTGTTAATAGTCATAAATGAATTAAACAAAAATTAGTATTTGATTAAAAAAATTATTTGTACTCCTCAGCAAAATATTACTAATCCAAGAAAATGGGTATGTCACAAAATTACAATTACAGTTTAATACCACAGACCAATCCTTTTGAATTGTAATTTTGTGACTAACCCATTTTCTTGGATTAATAATATATTGCTGAGGAGGACAGAGTTTTCTCGAAACGTACAAATAAATTTTGCATTCAAATACTAATTTTCGATTAATTTATTTATGACCAATAGGCAAATAAGTCATTAATAATATTATTATCTAAAATTATTTATATTTATTTCTTTATTAGTATAGATATAACCTATACTGGTACTGGTGGGGAGCCTAAATCCAGCAAGTGGGCCTATTGGTCTTTTTTGCCAACCCTAAAGACAATACTACCAATGGTAGTCTATTATACCTCCAACTCTGTCTCAAACGTTTTTGTTCTTCTAATGAAGTTCAAAAGACTGTACAATTTTATTGAGGTATTTCTTGTACTTGTATTCGATCTGAGACCAGAAGTCTGTATCTGAGCGACATTAATTGGTCGCATTCTGTTTTACAGTGAAGGGCAGTTTCTGTTGCGTTTTGCACAGATTGTAGGGTTTATCGTTTAATATCCCACAAATCTTTAGATGTCTTAAGTATGCAGTGGTCTGTTAGTACTCCGATGATAAGTCGGATTTCCTTTTTAGTTAGGCCCAACGGCCACGTAGTTTTAGAGGTGCTTTTGATTGTTTGGTTAGCCCAGTACATTCTCTCCACTCTTTACCTGCTATTTTCCAAATCTAATCAAGGACTTCTTTTCGTTTATGTTTCTTGGATATTCCTATTGCAGGTTCCTGACCTACAATAGGAAATTCCGCTCCTATATAATATATAACCTATAGGTCAGATTCTTGTTGATAAAATAAATAAAATGACTGAAGTAATTTGAATACATGTTAAAGCACACTTAAAAAATTGAATGAAAAACATTTTAGTTGTTCCATCAAAGAAGTCGATTAGATGGCGGTAAACGATAATTAACGCTGATAATGTTAAATGCCTATATCGTATATTCCAGAAATACTGTCAGGTAAATTGATGTAGATAATGACTAACCTGCCACCAGATAAGTTTTAAATATAACTTTCAACCAACTAGAACACTCGTTTAGATAAAAAAATAAAAATAACAAGAACGGTGTAGTGTGGCACGCTCGTCCTGCGTGCATCATGCAAACGTGTTTCATTTTGTATTTGTACAAAAGAAAAATTTCATCAGTTTTCTTCTTGTTAATACTGACAGATGCAAGCCATTTTTATTTTTTATTTCCAGTAATTTGTGAGAGGTATAATAATGTTTTACAAAACAAAACAATATTTTGAAAGATGGAGTAGGTTTTACACCATGATAGGGCTAATTGCTATTTGCAACTGCTGTTGCTACATTTGCAACGAATGAGTTATAGTCCCCTACCTTCGTCCTCGCTATATATTTTTTTTTATTCCTTCTTGCATCCGTAAATGATTTCAATTTACAAAGTTTTATTGAATTTTGAAATCCTATACTTGCAAGTACATCGTTCATTTACTACAGCAATAATCATTTTAAGTAACATGACTTATAATCATAGCTAAAGTGAATACGGTGTGGACAATTTTAATTGTATGATAAGTTTATGGCAAAAAAATGACAAAAGAATACATAATAACATTTTTTGTTTATCACACGAGAGCATTATTATTTTGATGAAATTATTATTTATTGTTAATATCCTCAAAAATATATATTCACTCTGGGCTCCAGTGAATAATTTCTACTGTTTGAAGTTAGTTATTTATCGTCACAACATCGGGCCATTTTTTCCCTTACTATCATCCGTTTAATATTCAATAAAGATCTATGGGATAAAATTTGAATCTCATGTAAGTTTTTGCAAGTAAATTATTTCGATGATTACTTCTGTAAAATAATCCTTTGAAAATTATTTTCACTTGACCCACGATAGCTACTGCTTAAATAATGAGTTCCAAAGATTTTATAGGCATTTATCACATAAGGCAGAGGGGGGCCAGATATCATAAATGTAATTATTTATCTCATGAATACGGATGTGGTTATACAGCGTAATTTAGAGTAATATTTAAACGAAGTTAGTCTCATGAAAATTATTTTTGAAAAAACCTTTAAAAATAAAGGTAGTATAGTTAAAGTCATATTTACAAGAGAAGGTATCAGTCAGTGGGTCCCCAAATTTGAACCTTTTTTTTTTTTTTTTTTTGTTAAACTACATCGAAAAATATTAGTCATATATCCCGGCGTCCTTCCAATGGGTCTTAAGAATTGAGAGAAAAAAAAATTTATGTGGATTTTCAAAAATAATTTATGTTTTTCTTTGTTTAACTCGGATGTCTAGATTATTATGTGCCAATCGATTCATTTTTTTTTAACTAATCACAAATTAAAAAATACGCTTCCAGTAACGTAGGCCAAATTTGTTACGAAATAGCATGTTATATTAATTTTTATCTCCTTTAAAATTATTAATTATGGACTTTTATAAAAATAAAAAAATACGAACGGTTTTATTAATATTGAATTTGAAGAAAACGTTGAGGCGTTATAAATGCTTTAATTGACAAATGAAAAAAAATCATTTTTAGAAAATCAAAGTCCTTTGCCCATTATCTCCGCCAGTTATTTTTTGATTTAATAGGAAAAAGTAACTATTATAGAAAAGTATCAGTTACATTTGAATCAATGTTAGAGTTGATAGGTTATACTATCTATTATATAAACATCTATTAACAGATTCATTTAATCAGCAAAATGAACTCCTTTACGTTATAATCCAGTTTGAATAACTCAAATCTTTTATTTTTTTAAGACAATATTATTAAATATCAAAGAATTTTGTCTATGTGAATAATCGTTTTAAAAAAACATAAATGTAAAATGATTAATTACAATCATTTTTTTCGATATCATGTGTTTTCTTTAACCATATAAAATATGATCTGTTAACAGATGTTTATATAGTAAAAGAAGAAAAACATTGATTCAAATGTAACTGCTAATTTTCTATAACAGTTACTTTTTCCTATTCAATCAAAAAATAACTGGCGGGGCTAATGAGCAAAGGAACTCGAACTTTATTTTCTTAAAATGATTCTTTTTTTTCGATTGTCAATAAAAGCATTTATAATTCCTCAACATTTTCTTTGAATTCAGTGTTAATGAAACCGTTGGAAAACTTAATATCAGTTTTTCCTATGTATATAAATAGATTATATTGTTTGAAATTAAAAAAAACTTTTCAAAAGTTTCTCGATAAATATCATTAGTTCTAATTGGCTGATGGAGTTCGGGTTTGTGCTATTTCGTGTAATATATGGGGCAAGCTTTTCAAATGGCTCAGTGGAGTTTTCTTGTGGCTCATAATTTTTGTGTCATTCTAAAAATTTGGAGGGTTCCTACATAGTCAAAAATGTTTATTGTTCGATAAATTCATAAAACACTTTTATAAAAAGAATCCTATGCTTCTTAAGAAGAATGAAATAGCAAAAAAAACAACAACAACATATTATTGGCATAGCTCCCATTCTGAAGTCAAGCGGGCGTTAATATATAACATAAGACACATTAGGAGATGTTAGGGCGGTGGGATGAGGTTGTCCAGGTAGCCGATATGACAGGGGTTAGGAGCTCGCTTACCAAGCTCGCTTATCTGATGGCGCCTGCCTCCCAAAGTAGGTAATACCTTTATCTCATCCATCTCTGCTAACTCCGGAGGTGGTCTGCTCTTTGTAAACCACTACTCGTCTTTTGTCTCATTTCCAGCAAATATAGTTGTAATGTGGTCTCTGTACTTGTCATACATATCGAACACTTAAAAGCAATACATAAATAACCTGATAAAATGATTTTTTAATATATGGATATAATGACATGAAAACACTTGCTGAGTAACTACCCAATGTTAGCACTCTAATGATATGTCTACATTAGGAGATCACGGGACGGTTGGGATGATTCTGAAGTTTATTATGGAAGGACAGGTATCTGGATTGGGCCAGATCTGAAACATAAGAAACATTAAGATCATTATTGATGGTTTTATTTGTAACAAAGTAGGGAGCATTCAGGGTTTTACGAAGGATTATGGATTGTAAGGATTGAATACTAGAGGAATTCGATGGTTTAGTGGAGCCCCATAGCTCAACTCCGTAAGTCCAAATAGGCCTTATTATAGTCATGTATATGAGTCTTTTGAAATTAATTGGAAGTTTGTCTAGTAAGTGCTGAAGTAATCGGAAACGTCGAGCAGTTTCTTGTCGTTTCAGTCTAGTAGATAAAAGGATAAAACGATTTTAAGTTATTCTAACTTCCTCGTAACTTCCTGTCCTACAGTATCCTGTAGTAATACCCCACTTATCCCTGTTGAACAAATCCGGTACCTTGGACTCCACTTGGACAAACGTCTAATTTGGAATCCTCCTACTAGACTTAAACGACAAGAAATCGCTCGACGTTTCCGACTAATCCAGCACTTACTCTACAAACGCTCTAAGCTTTCAGTCAATAATAAAAGACTCATATACATGACTACTATAAGACTTACGGAGTTGATATTTGGGACTCCACAAAGCCATCGAATTCTTCACGTATCCATTCCTTACAATAAAAAATCTTTCGCAAAATCCCCGATGCTCCTTACTTTGCCACTGATACAATCATCCTTAACGATCTTAATATTCCTTATGTTTCAGATTTGGCCCAATCCAGAAATCTATCCTTCCATAACAAACTTCAGAACCATCCGAACCCTCTCGTTTTTAACCTTGCTTCCTCGATCCCTGATAACCCTCCGGGGCGTCTGCAAAGAAGATTGCCTCGAGATCTCATAATGTAAATACATTTTTTTTTAGAGTGCTACCAGTGGGTAGTTTCTCAACGAGTATTTTCATGTTCTGTTACCAGATTTACTGTATGTATTTTTTCTTAATACAGTTGTAAATATCATAATGATAAAAAGGGTTATATTAAGAACGAACTAGATGTGAGTTTGCACCATTAGAAATGATGAAAGTAATTCAAAAGATGTTTGCATGAATAAAAAAAGAAAGCAGTTCTTAGTTATCTGTTTAGATGTACGAAGATCGGCTGCGATGTGATATTCAGTGTAGTAACAGATTCAGAATATAGTTTTGTGGGACTTCTTTTTTTACTAAGTACATATTTTATAGAGCTGAAATTTTATGAATGGATTTTGGAAATTCGAACTTTTTGATCGATAAAAACCCCACTAATTGCGCGAAGATGGCATAAACCCATTTATATATACAATATACCAGTTACGAGTGCAAAATGTTCTGATTTCACAGCGGAATACTTCATCGAATTTCTTAGTGATTTAAGGTTATAAAATGCGGCTTTTTGCAATAAACAGAAGATATATGTAAACGGAAATTACTCTGGAAGGAAAATAAAGGAAGTAATAGAAGTGATAATTAAAAGGTTCCTGAAGGTCTGGAAAAAAGTAATTACAGCAAAAATAATGTTTTAAAAATAAATTTTGTTAACATATTTTTCTTGCTTACATTAAGTAGCTGTATATACATCATAATTTAAAAAGGGAATATATTTTGATTGGGTTAGAAATTAGCTTAAATCACTGACAAAAACAAACATGAATTGATGGAAAAAAAAAAATGGTTTTATGATGATGATAGGACCGCTAGTAATTCAATGCCTGGTTTAAATTGGTCTTCTGAAAACGTTTAATAACAGAAGAAGAGAGTTCAGAACTAGAAACATACAAATAAATCCAATGAAATAATTATTAATTCTAATCTTGCCAGACAATTCTCAGTTAAGTAGAATTTTTTTATTTATTTCTTTATTGAGTATTTCAACAATCTGTCTTTTGAACATTGGTTATAGTGAGGTAGGATGACATTCACACTATATGTACAAAAAAATAAATAAATAAATAAATAGAAACAAAATAATAATCAAAAGTATATACAATAGATAATAAAATAAAATAAACTAAAAAATAAGAAAATTAAAACTAAGCAAAAAAAAAAAACAACACATGCATACCTATATACAATCAGGCGAGGGAACTCCAGGAGAACCCTGCGCTACTCACTCAACCGCGTCACTGGTACTAAAGCCAGCATGTAGAATTACTTAAAATGATACGATAAGATGAAAATGGGTTAAATGATGGCGTGTACTTGGGTGCTAAGCAAAGGATTTAAGAAACTATTAATCAAGGGTGGAATTATCTAGCAATTTCAAAAACCTATTAAAATTAATAAAAATATAAAAATGGATGAAGTGAAGAATAACAAAAAGTAAACAAAAGTATTGTGAAGCTGAAGATCATTCTTTGGATTCAGAAGAATCATGACCACATCTATTAAGTTTTTTTTTTTCATTCCTTTATTGTTCCTTATCGAATTAATGAACTTCAAATACGTACTACCCATTGCATGCTGATGAAATATTAATTGATAAACATAAGTGTAGTGTTTCTTCTTTGCCTAGGAAATGCGTAATCTTGTAGAATAGTCTTTTGTTTCTTGTGGACGAATCGAATGCCTCTTGCTCGTACCGAGTCCATAGTTCCAACGACCAACCACGATTAGGTGTATACTATTGAAGAGCGGATGGCAGAACAGACAAACATTGGGGCAGTGTATCGATCATGTGCATCTCTGACGGTGCCTATCATTAAGGCCGTGCAAAGGACTCGTCTTTTCCAACTTCCGTTTGATCCCTGGCCTGGCGATGACACTCTCATCCCGCCCCTCCCTCCCTCCCAAACTCTGTCCCCTCGCCGAAGCCAGTCGATAACGCTGATAAAGACCAAATTGTGTACTCAGTTTATTTTCCTTCTCATTCGGTCCGTTTTATCCGTTTTCCTTTAAATAAACATTGATACTTACCATGTAATTAGCTAGTCCCTCAGAAACTCCTAGCTGTAGATTAATGGCGTGAAAGCAGGCACTTATTTTCCTTGTTACATTAATGTTTATAGCGCCTCTGCTTAGCCTCTACTGGTCTTTAAGACCATTAGTGCGGCTGAGTGAGGAGCGTTGGGATCTCCTAGAGTCCTGCCTTTCCTTCCACGAGTAGAGAGAAAGGGTTGGCTCGGAGATCTTGAGTGAAATCTTTTTTTTTTTAGATATTGTACAGAAGCATGTATGTATTTGAGTAGTTATTTTCATTAGCTTAGTTTCTTTTGTTTATTTTAGCTTATATACATTTACTTTTATTATTATTATTTTTCTGTATTATTTATTGTGAATATGCTCTCTGAACTCTATTATAAATGTCCTTAATTGTGACAGATTGTAATGTTATTATTCTTTCTGATTTATTTTAAAATTCTTATATTCTAAAACCGTCTTAAAACCGTACAGTAATATTCCGCTTATCTCTGATCGAACAAACCTCCTGTCTATATAAGCAAATTGGAATATTAAAGGACTCTAACAAGGAACCGTATTCCATTTATTACTATTTTGATGTTTACATTTACTATTACAAACCCTGTCATCTGATGATATATTTTACAAAAATTTTATTTTCATAACTAAAATCAGCGAATATATAATGACGATTCTTACAATTTAAATACGATGGCTTAATGGACCTTTTTATATGCTTAGTTAGTTTTCGGTAATAATTTATACATAAAACTTAACAAACAATAAAATTTTTATTTATATTCAGTTAACAAAAGTAATGTCCTAAAAGGTTAAATTTGACAACGACGATTTTGATGGACCACTTAAATGGAACAGCCTCACAGAGTACTTATACGTATTATATCTTACATCTTATTAAAAAATATGATGTAGTTTTGTTTTTATTTATATTTTTACCGTCAAAAATTAATTTTATTTCCCTCTGCTATTTTCCTATTTAGAAGGCAACTGGTAGCAGTTGCAGACTACAAAATGTCACTTTTAACGCAAAGAGAATAAACATGTAAAATAGTTTTGTTGGACCTTTTCCACTAACAGCAGCGATATATCATCGGTACATAATCATTTATGTTATATTGTTTAATGGGCTTCTATGTATGTTTAATCACATTAAAACTGTCTGTTATGTCGTTTTTGATTGACTAAAAATATTTAATCTCCATAAGTTTATAATTACTTGGTATCCTCATGTCTACTCTACGGAGTGAGAGTGGATAGCTGGCGCCGGATATCCGATCTAATCTCTGGTCCGATCTGAAGGTAATTAGTAAGAGGCGTGCCGCGTCCCTATTGTGTCCTTTCTCTTTGTCGGCCCCTTCTCCTCGGATCTTAGCCTCATTTAACTTATTTCTAGTACTCTTTCTACACAAGTACTCACACGTTTTCAAGTTTGGTTCTTTACAAACAAGAAAAACATGCTTTCCATGTTTATAAAACATAAATACCATCTTGTGCTGATGGACTCAACTTTTTTTTCCCATTCCAAATCTCAAATATACATCTTGTTACTAATAACATTTGTCTTTGTCTAATTTAAATATTATTCTATGAGAATATGTTTTCTTAAAGAGATGTTTCAGTGTATCAAAAAGTCTATTTTAGTCCAATAGTTCAGCGCATTTATAATTCAATTATAGGGAATAGAGTTCCGTCATCAATGATAAAAGAATCATTGACAGAGCCCAATTGCGTGATGTGAACACGATGGATAATATTGAACGAATGGAATGGGCGTGGAAAGTTGTCTAGGTGGAAAAAAAAAAACGAATAATTTAAAGGACACTATGTCAATATAATGTGCATGGGTTCTACCGAAACGTAGATGGGAGGATTGTGTTAAGTTCCACCATGCTGGTTTGGGATTTAGATCGAACTATAATTGTGGCGGAAGCTTTGTAGACAGTTGCTGTTGGTGTTTTTTCTGGGTCAAAGCTTCATTTATTGATTTGTATATAATATTTAGGATATTGTGCACACATATATTCAGGTATAAATCAATATCTTATAAAAATGAATTAAAATGGACTTACTTCTACGATATTGGGCACACATTTGGAATAGGTAGAATAAAAAGAATAATTTCCCCAAAAATAATGCAATATTGCTACTGTGCAAGAAGTTTGATGATATCGTTACAAATATCCTGTTGTTATTGAAATACAATAAACTAAGTTCTACGAGAAACATGCTATTTATAATTTTATAGTTTTAGACTATAATTATGACGAAATTCGTTTTTTTTAAACTAAATCAAATTCTCAGAGAATCATAATAAGTTATATTAGCTTAAGGAGCTAAACCACGTACCCGACAGGCCAGTCCTCTAGAGCTATAGGGACGTCGAATTTCTGTCAAGAAGCAGCCGCCTGGAAACAACCCTCCACAATGGACCCTCATCCTGGAATTTTGTGGGAAAAAAGTGTTAGTGGCTATTCTATCACAAAACCAGAATATAATAGCCAGTTACCTGGTCCATGAACCCACCGGGGACTTTTTTTTTCTCACTTCAGAATCATTAACTGAATGTTCCAAGAAAATGATTTAATTAATCTTTTCCATGTAAAAAGTTTATTGTCTGTTTGATTAAAAGTCACACATTCAATGATTGAATGCGATTTATAAAAAAAAAGATATAATTAGAAAAATATAATATTAAAAAAAATATATAGATTTAATATACATATTTGAGTAAATTAGTTAAAGTTAAATTAAGCTGAATTAACGCAAGCATTACGAAAGAGTAACAAGGCCAAAGGCATATCTTAACAAATTTTCATCCTATTTATTTATTACAGTTGTATATTTGTATAACATATATATGTTTAACGATATATAAAAGTTATTACACACGGTTTGAACATTCGAACATTAATTAAATAATTTATTTAATAATTTATGTTCTATTAAAAATGTTAGATACATATTTTTTTATAATAAAGAAATTTTGTCATGGTAAATATCACAAGTGCAAATAAAAAAATAAATAAAAAGAAATTGGAAACATAGGAAAAATATTATACATACTGCCACGTCAAAAGCATAAAATGAGGTTGAATTTTCTGTAGTTGCTCCGATGTAAAAAAAAATCTTTAAATTGCCGGTTATTTACTATATATTTACAGGAGAAACGGTGGCTCTTTGGTATACTCTTGTACATGTAGAGTCAAGTGAAGATGTCAAATATATGAGATATGATAACGGACTCCATAAGTGCACTATTTTCCATAGAAAACGTCGAAGCCAGAACTACCCTGGTAAAAGAAATATGAAATATCTTATGGCAATTGAAAGTGGCCAGGAAATAGTGTTCATTTGGATCACTTCACATTGCGGAATCTGCAGCAATGGACTAGCAGATCAGGCTGCATTAATCAACATTAACATTAATCGAGAAGACTTCCTAAAAAAAAAAAAAATTGAAAATGTGGCATACAAGATGGAAACAAGAAGATTCAATACTAAAAATGATAAAAAGTCATTGCATCAAATCGAAAACATCCAACACAAGAATCCAGGAAGGAAGACATTGTTCTTTGTCAGTTAAGTATTGGACACTGAAGTTTTATATGTATAATTATTAAGAGGAATTAAACCCTCAATATGCCAACAATGTTCAACGACCACCTTATTCAAGATTAAAGATTTTGGCTGTGTTTATTCCACCACTTTTGTTTAATTACTGGCAATGTTTCGGCTATGTCGCCATTTTCAAGACATCTGTAAGATTAAATTAATGATAGATCCGATAATCCAATTATGGACAGAATACCTAACATGCTGACACAACATGTAGATGTTCACAAAGCGTAATAAAAAAATATAAAAATGGTGGTATAAATACAGTTCAAACCTTTTATTATGAATCATCATTTCACTTCATACAAAAATAAAGAAAAGTTATTCCAGAATGTCCCAAATTTAAAACTACATGGGAAAAATTGGAAACATTGACGAGGATGTAAAAAAAAGTCTATAATTCTTGAAACCGGTATAATTCTACTACAGAATTTAATATCGGGGTTTTGCCGATAACCGTGTTGGATAGAAGCAACAAAATAAAAATAAATAAACATCATATTTTGTGTAAAATCTAACAAAATATATAGCTCTTATAAATGTATCCCTATTTTTGAAATAAGTTTTATTTTATTTTTATAAAATCGTTTACTTAATTGAACTGAATTCAATAAAATGTATTTATGAACCATTAATATTGTTTTAATAAAGATTGTTGAATTAACTAATATTAATACTATTTTATATTTAATATTTTATTTAAATTTCTTTCGATGAAATAAAGTAAATAAAAACACTGTACACCAAAAGCAGGTGTACAATGTTTTTATGTATCCGAAACTATTCCCATCGTTTAGTCTCTGACCAAAAGGGTTAAAAAATAGTGCCAGTGTGTTATTATTTTATTACTAAGCTGAATAATGGAAGTATTGTAGCTGGATAAGGACCTATGCTGGAGTGCTTCCTGAATACGAAGAACATATGGCCGAAGAGGAGAAGGTATTATGAAGATGATGAGCAGCTAATGCGGCGAACCGATCAATCAACCCATAACGGACGCCATACAAAGGTCTACGGATAAAAACAGATGTATGTTATGGGTCTGATTCAAATTCAATTTCGAGTGGGTACAGTCTCTTCAGGTAACATCCGTGTATAGTCTGGAAGTTAGTTCTTATTAGAGTTCCCAGGGAGGATCTGCTATAAAATTGTAACGTGACACATCAAATTTTGAGAGGAAGAGGGTTAATTTTTTTGATTTTTTTTTTAACGATTACAATGGTTCATTATTAAA